ACGTATCATGTCAAGATGAGAACCTGGAAACTGAGACGTAAAGTATGTCCGTGCATGGTGCAAACGAAATAGTTGTGCAAATGCTGCAGCGGTATGCTAGGCGTTAAGCTCGGAAAAATGCGTACAGTCTCTCCATGGCTAAGAAAAGAGGAATTTTACAGAATTAGGCCGCCTTTGAGAAGGCAACAGACACCAATATCGAAGTACCCTCAACTGCTTTCGAAGCAGTCAATTGCCACTAAAATGAGATAAGCCGTGATTGTTTCCGCCACCTAAATCTTAGCAGCAAAGGCTGGAGCATAAAGCTGAAGTTACGGCTCACGTCGTTGAGTGGAAATAAATAATGAACGTCACAGCTGGTGCCAATAAAGAAAGTCAGATACCTGGCGAATGCATAGATCACCCAATGATAAATCTGACAATGAAAGATGATCTCGTTCGCGCTATGTTCTCAACGATGACAAATCGTTGGTGTCTGTAGATAAAACGAAACTGCTAGCTACTAACGTGCGTATGCACATTTCAAACGGTTCCACAGAGCCGTGTGAGCGGTGTCTGAGTTTGCAACACGTTTTACGATCTTCAGCTTACCGCCTCACAGGTAATGGTTTGTCGCAACGAGTCCAACATTAGAGCGGTTCATGTTCCAAATGAAATATAATCCACACTGTTCATGAGCAACGTTTCTCCTGAGAGGACCATTGCAGATGGGATAGTTGCTCTGGATCACGAGGGCGACAAGCCGGGAGGTGGAAGCTTGTTTGGCCGCCTGAAGCGCCGCGCGGCCGCTCGTCAACTGGCTCCCGCTGGCAGTAGGCGTGCTGCCAGCGCCGCACCGTGCTGGAATTCGGTGCCGCTTGCCCGGCGAGCCAGTCACAAGGTCCGCTCTCCTCCGTTCTCAGCCGCAAGTCACGAGCTTCGTTCTCCTGAGCGCGCCCGTTTGCAGAGGTTCCGGGCGCCCGAGGCGTTGTTCCAGCCGGCCCTCACGGGCATGGAGGCGGACGGCATCGCTCAGCTCACCTACGCGTCCATCATGAAGACCGACATCGACGTGAGGAAGGACCTCTACGAGAACATCGTGCTCTCCGGGGGCTCATCCATGTTCAACGGACTGGACGAGCGTCTGCAGAAGGACGTGCAGGTCGGTTGTCCTACCGCTCACATCACTTATCGTATCTGCCCCGGCTTTCTATCCATCTCTGCCAGCTGTTGTGCTAGTGATAGACGTCGTGCTTGAGGTAACATTTGTGTTCTGAAAATGGCTTTGAACAGGCGGTTAAAGTCACGCAGTGATATCAACTTTTACTGTAACGCTCTGTAGCTCCAAACCCACATCGAAGAAGTAAGAAAACTTGCGGTAGCATATGAACCTCGTCGTGCTCATAAACTCGTGTTTATTCGTTTCTGTTCCTGACCTGAACCAAATTCCCGCATAGTGCATTTCACTGCCTAACGTGACACGCGGGGTAAGAGATCTACACCCGCATGACCGTGAGGGAAAACTGGTGAAAACGCCAAAAGTGTCTTAACTCGGACGATGAAACCAGCAGTCGAAGTTTCCGATGTGGGCTGGAGCACCGCTGTCGCGCGGTCCAGGCCATATCACGCCAAGTTTAAGCCTGGTCTTACCGTCTGAAGTTGGGGCTGTCCGGTAGCTCACTGTCCGGCCCAGGCGCCGTGACCTGTGGCTGCGCCTGGCACGCCGTGCCGAGGCCGCCTGCCCACGAAGCCTGACCACGGTTCGGAAAATAGCAAAGAAATCACAGGGATCTGCCACTGAATGCTAGTAAATTCGTTACAAAACTACGCACATTGCACACAACGCTGATCTCCGTTTGTGGACTCGAACATTTTCCCTCCTCATCTCTGGGGTCACAACGATTCCTTGCAGTGTGTTGTATCATGTGAAGGCATTCATATAATTATGTTTCCATTCGCTGTCCACCAATGTCACCAAAAGTCCTGATATGACAAGACATCATACGATTATCATTTTGTTCGCAGTTGAAGCGAGGTGATTAGACCCCAGGTACCCTGTGTGAAATATCCAGGGCTCCACAGGCCTCACTCCCACCCCCAGTCTCCAGTTGGAGTGAGGTGATCAGACCCCGGGTACCCTGTCTGACGTATCCAGGGCCCCAGAGGCCTCACTGCCGCCCCTAGTCTCCAGTTGGAGCGAGGTGATCAGACCCCAGGTACCCTGTCTGACGCATCGAGGGCTCCACAGGCCTCACTGCCACCCCCAGTCCCGCTTAACGCGATCTGAGAAACCCCTGCCCACATCTGCGCTGCAGGGCATGGCACCCAGCTCGATGAAGGTCAAGGTGATGGCGGACGCGTCTCGCAAGTTCTTCGTCTGGATCGGCGGCTCCGTGCTGGCATCGCTGTCGACGTTCCAGCAGATGTGGATCACGCGCGCCGAGTACGACGATGTCGGCGTCGACATTGTGCACCGGAAAGTGCTTCTGAGTGTTTTGCTAGTGCTAGGAGAGCCGGTGCATTAGTTGGTATTGATAGCGTCGATATACTGATTACATAATCACTATATAACTGGCCGGCTTTTTCCTCGTTGGAACTCGGTAAGCTGTGCTACTCTTTTCTTTGTGGACCTTGAGTGGGAGTTATGGGCAGACATCTGCCTGGATCCCAATGGTAGACGCAGGATTTCAAAGGTTTAAATCCTTGTTGGACCCTGAGATCTTTTTAGGGTTCCAGGCATATGTCGACTTTGGGGTTTGGTTGAGCGGTTGGAAAGTTAATTGAAAGGGGCATGAGTGTGCCATGGTGGCGAACAAAGAGCCTAGTGTGGTGTTTCCGTGCCGCCAGTGGTACGTCCCCAGTTCGCTGAGGTAGAGTGACGTAACAAGCGTGACATCTGCTTCGCCTTTGCCCGTGAGGTTCTATCATAACGTCCCAGCAGTGACGGCACGCCGACGATGAGACCTGTTGTGTTTACCTATGGCCTCGTTATTAATCCTTTGTCGCTCGGTGACACATGTCGCGATGGGTCATCGCTGCGAGCGGCCCTGCTGCAGCACTGACCAGCAGACCACAGACAGCCGCGGCGCCCGATTGTGGTGCTCTGGACAGGACAGACGGTATACTGGCTGGCTTTTGTTTGTTTGCTTTTGCTGCGACGCAATTGAGGAAAGCAAGGTGTCTTTTGATGAAAATCACACTGGCTAAAAATGCATGACAATAAGAAGTGAAAGACATATTTACAACGTTTTCTTTTACTATAAAGGCTCATCAGAATACAGCGACTCCGTCCCAATAAAACGTTGAACATCCGTATCTGAAGTTGATTATTCGACATAACGCCATCATTAGAACTGCTGCCACATGACAAGCTCAGTGATATCGGGAGACTACGTGCATGGATGTGTCACATGCATGCGTGATTACTTTTCACTTCATGACAGCAGGTTATATATTTTTGCCACAGAAGCTGCTCGTGCCAGCACTTAGAAACGGTGGTCTCAGACTGCGCCTGCTCAGTGCAGAATAAGACTATATGATAGCCATTGTAACAGTATTTATCACGGGGATATTCTTTTAGATGTTCATGGCTGCTTCACCAACAAAAGCTCACCTCTAAGTGAGCTGGGTTTGTTTGCATGGGTTAAGACGTTGCAGGACAGCGACATCAATATTGCAAATCTCTTACCACCGAGTATCAATCCGACCTACACAGGGGATCGGGGCATGATTACGCTACTCCGACTGTTGGCCCTGGTCCCGTGAAAGCAGATACAGAGCAAAAAAGAATACCGGTCAAATCGACAGACATGCCAACAAATGGATGAATGAACGGATGGGCAGAGGGGCGGGAGCAGATGGAAAGATGGAGATGGAAAGGAACGTGAACAGAAGGTTGAATCGGACAATTAAGTTAGCGGGCTGATCAAGGGAATAGGGACAATGGAATGGAATGGAATGAGCCTGAAGCCATGCAGAACAAGACGAGTGGTCCTATGTGGTTCAAGTCCATGTTCTGTTTATCGCATGCATAGCATAAGGCATTTGAGGCCATCCTCCAATAGTTATGTTAGCATGGCGGAATCTTATGGGAAATAAGAACTGCATGCAATTACACAAACTGCATGAATAGCTACTTACATTTACATGCGTAACTACATATGCTGAGAAGTGCATATTTTTAAAGCTAAACAGAGGTTTCATAAATGCAGCGAAACAACTCTTCCGAGGATTACCCAAGATGACCTTGTGCTCATATTGCACCACAAGGAGAGCTTGGTTGCACATCCTGAGCCCACCGTCCGATGTCTAGCTTTACAGAGAATCCAACCAGAGCTGGGCTTTAATTTCCGGTCTTTTACAGGCTGAATAGAAAGGCAAAACAATAAGTGACAACAATTCATTTGCATCTAAGTTGCTATTGTCGCAGAGGCCAGAGATTCGCGAACTCTTTCTGGGCACAATAGCCTTAAGACGTGAACACCGATGTCGCTTGTTCGGTGGGCATCTCGAGGAGGGGGAGAAGAGCGGGCAGGTGGATATCTCGAGGAGAGGGAGAAGAGCGGGCTGGTGGGTATCTCGAGGAGAGGGAGAAGAGCGGGCTGGTGGATATCTCGAGGAGAGGGAGAAGAGCGGGCTGGTAGGTATCTCGAGGAGAGGGAGAAGAACGGACTGGTGGGTATCTCGAGGAGAGGGAGAAGAACGGACTGGTGGGTATCTCGAGGAGAGGGAGAAGAGCGGGCTGGTGGGCATCTCGAGGAGAGGGAGAAGAGCGGGCAGGTGGATATCTCGAGGAGAGAGAGAAGAGCGGGCTGGTAGGCATCTGGAGGAGACGGAGAGGAGCAGGCAGTACAATTACAAATGTGTATCGCGATTAAACATGCGAGGGGCGAAACGAGAATCACGAGCGATTTGATGAAAAATGTCAAAACGGCATAGTGATGGCGAGTACCGCGCGGTCAATACTTACTAAGGGTTCAATATCTGCGGTCAATACCCCTGACTAAGGGTTCGCCGAGGTGTTTTGTATTACTGCTTATTTAGCACTAGAACGGCAAAAGTATGCACAAGGCATCCGGTTGTTATATGTTGCACAGACGCCTGACACTGTGTTTATTACATGGCGAAATCCCTTATTACGGGTCGTAAAGGACGAGATACGAAGCGTCGAGTCGCACTCGACCCTCAGGGTCATGACCTTTCTGGGTGCTATGGGATCTTGCACTTGGATATATAATGCCGTCGCAAACGTCTGTACTCGTTACCAATACCATATAAAAAGAAGCAAATATCATCAAGGCTCGCATGCGATTAAGGGCGTCCCTGCGACATCGACTTATCTGGCGCCACTGGGGACACGGAGCGTCGCAGCTGCCTCCGTGCATCATCTTTCGCGTCACGGGCAGGGACGTGCGCCGCACGCTGGGCGCTGCCTGTCTCAGAATATCGACGTCCAATAGGTGGGAGGAGCGAGCGGCACTCTGACGCTCTGCCCTCCGGATCCCTCTATGAAAACGACATCAGCCACAAACTATGAAGATCGGGGGCAGAACAAATGAAATCCATGTTGTATACTATTTTTATTTTCATCATTTTTCTTGGCTCTCGGCGAGAGTGGGGCACCCAAATGCCTCTCCCCCTCCCGCTCGGCGCGGAGACTGCGCCAGACTGCGTGACACCTGGAGCCGCTTAAGCTCTGACGGTAACTCAATGTACACAACAGAGCCGTCGTGTACAGCAGCTGCGCCGGGCAGCGCAGCTCGGCAGAAGCAGGCCTCTGCTCCATCTCTGTTCTAGAACGGGGCTGGCTCAGAGGAGTCGCCCTCCTGCCGGCTGTGCTGTTCGTAAGCGTCCGCCCAAGTTGGCGGTGCTGAAAACGGAGAGGTCCGCACTTCGCCGTGTCACGCATGAATACATTTTGTCTACCAAAGAGAGTATGATATTTTCCCTGACTGTTCGCTGTCAGGTAACTGGTCAGCATATTTCCGCAGGCCCGGGACGTGATGGATTTGTTTTCGTTCGAAGGTGACACGCAGCGTGGCTAATCTTCCTTCATTCCCTTGAACGGCGCCCTTACGTTCCGTTTCCGTACGTCGCTAAACAGCGACGAAGCTGAGGGACGGCTGCTGGTGGCCGTCCACCAGCAAAATTCGGTGCGTCGCCGAATGGCTGAATGACGGAATTACGCGCCGATTACGCGCCGATGGATAAGATTAACCAAAACTTTTGTGAAACCAACAAGGCTACTACAACTCTAAAAATATAATAGCGATGTTTTGCCCCTATGTTATGCGTGAAGTGCTGGACCAGTGTTGGTTTTGTTATTGACAATGTAAAAAATAATAAGCAATGCAAACAAACAAAACAGGGCACTTGTAGGTCTTGTACTGGCAAACAGGTCACGTACAGCAACAACGAACAAAAACAAAGCACGCTCTCGAAGCATCGGATGTCAGGAATCCAAAGCTCAGGCTATCATGGAGACGAACGTCGCCCTAGCCCGAACCAGGCTACCGGTGAAGCAACAGAGACGTCCAGCCAGACAACACCGGGTGAGGGCGTCGGAGATTCTCCGTCAACACCGAGCCCGCGACGAGTGCTTTAACCTAGTCCAAGAGCTCCGGCACCGCTGACCTGCGACGACGCCAACAGTACGCTCGCATGACCCCAGAGACGGCTGAGGTCCCGCTGGCCGGTATTGGGCGGGCCATTGCCCGGCAATCCAGCAGCTCTTCCGCGGGCTGATCGGTGCTGCGACCTGACCTGACCTCCACGCTGAGCAACCATCCAAACAACAACTTGTCTACACAAGCGTATGTATATGCACTTGGATGTATGTTAACAAGTATCTTTCCTGTCACTCAATCTGAACTTGAGTCCCAATATAATCAAATTAGTTGTTGAATCATGGCGTAAACTTCATCTATCGCGCTCTTGTTCTCTTGCTGTTCTCTGCCAAACGACTGAAAAGTTCACCTCGTTCAACTCGTCGGCGATCCGGCGCCAGATTTGGCGCCGAAAACATTTGGCGCCGAAAAGCTGAACACGTCGAGCGACGCTTTCTGCCGTTCGGTGGCAGCAAACGGTCACCACCCATTGGCCCTCTGTTAAATTCCGTCATTCGATTGGTTGTTGACGCGCCAAACTCTGCTAGCAGACGGTCCCTTAAACACATTGGCCAGTACGGTTATGACAATCGGAGGCAGTACCAAGCTATACCAAGTATGTTACCAAGCAAGGGAGTCGTCAAAGAGTGCTCATATGACTTTCCCCAGGTTTTTCGTTTTTGTGCGAGGATGTGAGTCACCACGCTATATCACGGAGTTCGGAAAGCTGTGCAAAATGTTAGTGCCAGCCACGAGCCAAGCGCTCTTTTCCCAGCGTTCACCGAACACCCATTCACACCAAAAACACATCCCACTGACTTTACGTCTAAGCTGATTATGCCTTTGATCCAAATTGGTCCGTCGTCTGTGTATTGGACCATCATCTCATTATCACCAACACAGGCTGCTATCGCCCGCAAGCACGCAGTACGGCGACGACTTCTAAACAGATCCCTGACAAAGTTATGGTGCTTGAAGGCTTTACAAGCAGCCTGGTGACCCCGATCGCCAGTGATGCTGATGCCGTTTTTGAAGATCCGTTGAAAGTATTGTTTACATGGAGGGCTAACTTAATCCGAGGCGTTCAGATACTTAATAGCAATGAAGCTCAAGGCGCTTTCAGCTCTTAACGCTTCCTGCGTTGCTAAGACAAAGGAAGCGATACTTATCCCCCTTCCGTCAGGTGAAGAGCGTGTTGTGTCGGTAGCGCAAGCCAACGAAGCCTCCGGACGACAGGGCCGAATACAGCTGCTGCTGGAGGAGACAGACGGTTACGGGACAGGGCCGAATAGAGCTGCTACTGGAGGAGGCAGGCAGTTACGGGACAGGGCCGAATAGAGCTGCTACTGGAGGAGACAGACAGTTACGGGACAGGGCCAAACAGAGCTGCTGCCGGACGGCTGGCTGTGCAACCTTGGCAACGACTTGGGCAATGGGGCAGGACGACGATAAGATGGATTACGTGTCCCGATTTCAACATGGTTAAGTATTTCCGCAGACCAGGGACGATTGAGCGGAATATGCAATGTTAACCTGGGGGAGGAATGTCGTGCCTTTTGCCATAGGCGTAGGAGCGTTTCAAAAGGATGGGCGGGGGCAGGCTCAGAGTACATAAGAGAAACGGCTGGGTGGGGGAGATAACGATCTTGTCCGTTTTTATCCATAGAGGTAAGAAAATATCATGGTTGCTATGTCGTGCTAA